GGAGCGCCGCCGCCACCGCCATGCGCGTCACCTCGCTCAGCGCCGCGCTCCGGGCATCGCAGCCGCGCGGACCGCGCCTCGACCCGACGAGCCCGGGAAAGCCGCGCGGAGGACGGCGGCGGAGGGACGGGCGGGGACGGCCACCGGCATCGCCCGCCGGTCGCCGCCACGGCACCGCGCCTGCGCCGCTCGGCCGAGGGACGCGGGTTCGAGCCCCGCCGCCGCCGCCGTCCCTCAGGCGATTCGCTGGCAAGCGGGCGGCTGCTGTCACGTGCGCTGAATGCCCGGGACCGGGTCGTTCGGTGCCGCGGTCACGAGTTAGCAGCATGCAGCCTCCTTCTTTCCAGTAGAAGCACCGCTCTTTGCGCGCTGCTCAACTGCTGCCGGCTGGTGCTGCGTCCCAGGGGCCTCATCGCCTAAGGATGCAGGGAGAAACAAGACACGAGGCCCAGCGTCATCTAAGCTGTCCTCCGGCTTAAAAGGGATTCGAGTTTTGCTTCTACGAATTCTGACAAATCAGTATTTACCTGCTACCGTGGCTGGTAGTCTAACTGACAGCCTACATGTACTCAGGGCCAGCCTATGCCCAAACGTTGTCACTGTTCTGTTCCTGACCAATAAACCTTCCTGGAAAAACACTGTGGTGAGGGAAAGCACACGCTCTATTTTTTTGAACTGGCCAAAGAAGTTACAAAGTAAGGATCAGAACGTTGCAGGAAGAGCTGAGATAACAGAGTCAATGCTAGCAAAGCTTTTTCACAGCTCCTTGAGATTAAATGTTCAGAGCAGCAGGTGAGTGTGCCTCTTAACCAAATGCTTATGGTCCTTACTGCAGGTTTCATTTAACTCCCTTTTCCTTTCTCTGTCAGAAGAAATCCTTGCTGAACACCTTGCAGGTCCCGAACTCAGCAGCGCCTGGAGCAGCTACATCCAGCCCTTCCACTGTAACAGAGCTCCTCGTGTGAGCGACACAGGATCGCTGAGCACGGGAAAGAGAGAAAGAGAGACTTCTATCAACCTCATTTTTGGGGCGCTGGGTTCGATAAACAAGCTTTAAGCGCTCTGGAGAAGCAGGCACCCAATTTAAGTTCCCATCCAGCCTATTCCCGCAGGGCGTGGGATGCCCGGAACAGGCAGAGCACAAATCCGAAACGCCCACGGCTCCAGCACGGCTACTTCAGAAGGATTATCTCACTTTTCTTACTGAGCCCCATCTGCGAGCTGCGCAGCCCTCACTCACAAAGCCTGAAGTTTCCCGTCACCCCTGGGCCAGCGGCTCGGAGCAGGAAGCGGCCTTTCCGTGCAGGCCGAGCTCTGCAGCACTTCAGCCGCTCCCCACGGCCGCCCTGAGCCCCGGCAGCGGAGCGCTCCCACCCCGCGGGCCGCGCGTCGCTTCCGCATCCGGAGCGGCGGGCGCAGCTGTGCGGCGAGGGCCGGCTGAGGGCGTTGGAGCGGACGGCCGGGACCCTGCGCCTGAGGGAGCGCCGGCAATGAACGGCGCGGAGGAGGAGGAGAAAGCGGCCGGGAGCCGGCGGGAGTCGGGTACGTGAGTGGCGGCCGAGCGCGGAAGGCCGAGTAGCACCGCTGGGCAGGCGGCAGTGCGCGCTGGCTTCGAGAGCAGCGGCCGTGTCACGGCTCCTGTTTGTGTGCTGCGCTACTTGCCGTGCTCTCGCCGCGCGCCGTTGGAACGCCCCGTCCGCCGCCTCCCGCTCTGGCACTGCCCGGCCGTGAGGTGACCGCGCCGGCGGAGCTCACGGGGCAGGGCCGAGGGAGGGAGGAAGAGCGGTATGGAGCACCGTGCGGTGCGCTGCTGAAATGCCTTTGTTTTTAAGCAGGGACGTACCGCTGCTATCGGGGAGGCCTGGAGTGCTGCCCGACCCCGCTTACTTTGCTCCTCTCCCGCAGGTGCCGGTGATGCCTCCCCAGATGAAGGGGTCGAAGCAGATCTGCCCGTTATAGATGAGAGAGCAGTGGAGCAGCTGACTGAAGGGCTGATTTCTCACTATTTGCCTGATCTTCAGAGATCCAAATCAGCTCTGCAGGAACTTACGTAAGCAGGTTTTTAAATGCAGCTCCCTTTATATTCATGCTGTTTTTTCCATGTGATGTTCTAGCTTAACTGGAAGTCAGTTTGTTGTAGCATTTCTATGTTCTGACTGTACCGTTTTGAGCAGTTCTGCTTCTCAGAGTACTGGGAGGTGTACAAGCTGCAGTGTTGTCTGTTGAATTTTGTCTGAGGGGCGTACAGCACTACAACATTAAATTCCCACAAGCCAGGCACAGCAGATGGGCAAATTTCTTATATACTTGTTCCATAATGCAAAGTTTGCTGAAAACAGTAGACATACTTTGTAGCAGTAGCCTTTGTGTTCACAGCTGCTTGTAGTGCAGTATATTGTTGCTATGCAGTTTGTAAACTGTGTAGCTGAAAATATTGCTAAGAAGATATAAATTCTTTATGCACTGTTATCTCACTGATAATTGAGAATAGTTTGTTTCAAATGTAGGCTGGGTCTGCCATATGACGTAACTGGAGGGGGCTTTACACAGAGCCATCTAAGCTCTGTAGGGTACACTGCTTTGAGTTTCACGATGCATAATGTGGTTATGCTGCTGCCAAGGACAGCTTGTGTCTGGAAGGAATTTAGCTGATCTGTGTGGGATGGAAGATTCTTGATAAGCACTGTGGACCCACACAGGTTCTATGCAGAAATAATGTGCTGCAGCATGACTCAGAGGCAACTGAGTAGAAAGACAAGAGGAAGTAGTTTTCCCTTCATTCAACCTGTCCCTGCACAGAGGTATTTAATTGCTGAAACTTGTCTAGTGCCTCTGTCGCTGGAGGTTTTCAGGTGTCATCCTGGTTTTCTTATCATCCTGTTCAATATTAGGCAGCAAAAAACTGAATTTGTGTGTCTCAGTTGGGATTTTTCAAAAACCATTTACTTGCATCAGCTGAGATCAGCTAGCAATCCGTAAGGAGAACTTGATGCTGGAAAGCACTGAGTGAGAAATATCTGCTCTGTATATCTAACTTTTGCAGTATATTGTTAAACTCCTTCATCTGTGCTGCTTTTCTCTAGTTTTATGGATTTTTTTCTTGTTTCAGACAGAACCAAGTGGTATTACTAGAGACATTAGAACAAGAAATTACAAAATTCAAAGAGTGTAACTTCATAATTGACATCAATGCCTTGGTAAGTACTATTAATGCTTTTATAAATCCCTACTAGTGTGGATTCTCCTGCTGAAGTATTAGTAGCAACTTCATTTTTTTTCTTTATAACTTGCAGGAAGGTTAGCAACGAGTTGAAATACATGGGACAAATTCCTCCTGGAGAGGATGCATAACCAGCAGATTTCCATTAAATAGAGGAGGCAATGGGAGAAAGAGCAGTCAGTCTAGTTTTCTAAGCCAGTAGCCAAAGCAAACATATGCATTTATTGAGCAGGACTGAGGTTCCAAGGTGAGCTCTGTGCACACGTCTAGTGTAGCAGAAAATGTGCTTGAGACACATGTGGTACATAAATTGGCAATACTTTTATTCCATTTTGGTGAATCTTAATTCAGTAAAGGGCTGGGTGTACCCACTGAGATATGATAGTGTAGCAGAAATGCTAAGTCATGGCTCAGTCACCAGGTGATTGAGTACCTGGTGGACAGGCAGGGCCACCCCAGGGGAGCTCAGGTGCATGCAGTGCAGTGTAGTGCATCTTAATGACTGGAAGGGGTGCAGCCAGGATCCACCCCTTCCCAGACCTCATTTAAGGCTTGGTAGTGGAGATGAGGGTATCTTGTTGGAAATCCCTGCCTGCCTGAGGCCTTCCAAGGGTAAGCACATTGTTTGTGTCTTTCTGTCTGTCTTTCTGTCTCACTTTCTCCATGGCTGCTGCACTGGGGCTAATCCTCATCTGCTGTAGCCTAGGACTTTGCCACCCTGCTGTTATTGCTGTGCTTTCCATCTGAGTATAACATTCAGATAGTTTTCTGTATTTATGTAGTATGTAAGCTTTAAACATAAACTTGAACATGTTTAATCTATTACCAAACTGTTCTGGCAATGCTATGTTAGTACTTACCGTTTTGATGTGTAGAGTTATTAAAAATAAAAAAAGTTTTTCAAGTTTTTCAACTTGACAGTCACTGCCTTAACTGCTGTGTTTTTGAAGTTTACAGAAGCTAAACACTATCACAGCAAGTTAGTGAATATCAGAAATGACATGATGATGCTCCATGAGAAGACATCTAAGTTAAAAGTGAGTTGATTAATTTTTCTTACTTTCCAACATAGCAATTTAGTTATATATTATTGTCTTAAGTTTTATTTTGGATACATGCTGAAAACTCTGGTGAAAATAGAATCTCTGT